GCCTCTGACTCCTCCACTGCAGAGCCTTCTCTTGTAATAAACACTTGGAAATCCCAGCTGAGACCGCACTTCCAGGCTCAGAAACATCCAAACTTCTTCAGACTCCCACCCTCCCCCAAATCAAACTCAAGAAAGTCCATGTCTCTTGGAAATGGAGCAAATGGCAGTCTGCCAGCCAAGAGGCCAACCTCCTCCTTCTCCTTGGGGCAGCCGCCTGAGGCACTACCTACCAGCTGCATCAAGTAGCAGGTTCCTGGGGTTAAGGTCCCGGCACAATATACCCTGTTGGTGAAGTCCCTCTAAGGCCAGGAGGATTTCTGCTGCCCACAGCTGCACCTGCTCCTCCTTCACAGCCCACGCTCTCTGGCTGTGGCCATGGGAAGCCAAAGCCCCGGACCGTTCCGATGATGGCTGCCGGCTGGGTCGGCCCCAGGTCAGGCTTGTTCCCTGCAGGGGCTTCCACACTGCTGGGTCAGGCCCATGGGGCTTGGCAGGGCTGGACAGGGCAACTCCTGCATGGAGCTGCCTCTGACCTGAGGTCAGGAGGGGCCGAGCCCAGGGGACCTCAGACACTTGCTGAGAGGGCAGCTTCCCTGCCCCTGGCTGCCCCCCTCTCACAGTCTTCGGTACAGGGACAGGTGTCTGAGGAAGCCTGGGATCTTGTTGGGAGCCCACGCCCCTGGTTAGAGCGTCCCAGGGGTAGATGACCAGGCCCTGGCTGGTAAGGTGGCTGGGGTCTTTGGCTGGTGCTGCTGGAACATGGTCCACGATGCCAGACAGAGCCTGTGCCACACTTAGATCCTGCCCTCTGGACACAGCCCTGGAGCCACTGGTGGGACCCAGGCAAAGTTGGCAGTGGTTCCCTGAGCTGGGGTCTGCAGGGTCAGCAGACTGCTCCCAAGGAGGCGAGGCATCAGTGTTTCCCAAAACTCGGTGGGTCATGGAGCCTGGAAGGCCATTGTCTGTCCAAGTGGAGAAGATGGAGACATGGCTGCTGCCCTGAGAGCTTGTGACACCACCCTCTCTGCTGCAGTCCCTCAGGGCTTGAATGGTGTTTGAATCGGCAGAGCTCTGGTGGACACAGTACTTGGATTGGAGGTGAGACCACAAGGTGTCCCCTGAAAAGCAGAGAGAAGAACAAATCAAGGGGCAGAAAGCATGCCTGGTTCCCCCACTGCAGACATGACCCATTCAGGTACAGGCCAAGGCTCACACGCTGGGGATGTGATTGAGCATCACTCATCTCCCCTGCGGCAAAGCTTGAACCTATGCCACTTCCCAGCCCTACTCACCATGCCCAACACCACACCTCTCCTAGGACCTAGCACACCAAAGGCTCACTCTCCATTCCTTTGGCAGCCCTGCTCCCAATTCTGCACAGTCTCCTTGATCCCAGCTCTGCCACTTCCATGTCACAGGCCAGCCGCACCCTCACATATGCTCCTGATCCCACTGCCTTCCTCTGAAAGCCTTTCCTCTCCGCATGACAGAGATGTCAGAGAGCTCCCACAGTGTGGCACGGAGCCAGTGGGTCAGTGATGAGTCAGAGCAGCAAGCTCTGGAGCCCACAGCATGCGAGTCGTTGAGGGTGTTCTCCAACACACATCAACCTTCATTGCTGGATGCCGGCTGCCACTCCCTACACATCCATTCAACCAGCAGAGAGCGAAGAAGCCCCTTGGGACAAGCCTCCACCTTGCAGCACTTCCTCACCAGGATCTGGGACAAGCCTCAGGTGTGCCTCCTTGTTGTACCCGAACCCCAACGTGGTCTCTGCCTTGTATGCCCTGATTCTCCATCTCCCCTCTTTGGTCTGATCTCAAAATCATAGAATCATAGAATATTAGGGGTTGGAAGGGACCTCTAGGGATCATCTAGTCCAATGCCCCCTACCAAAGCAGGATCCCCTAGGACAGGCCACAGAGGAACGCATCCAGACAGGTTTTTAAATTCTCCAGAGAAGGAGACTCCACACCCTCTCTGGGCAGCCTGGGCCAGTGCTCCATCAGCCTCACAGTAAAGAAGTTTCTGCTCATGTTGAGGTGGAACTTCCTATGTTCTAGCTTATATCCATTATTCCTTGTCCTATTACTGGGCACCACTGAAAAGAGACTGGACTCTTCTTCTTGACACCCACCCCTTAGATATTTGTATACATTAATAAGATCCCCTCTCAGCCTTCTTTTTTTCAAGACTAAACAGCCCCAGTTCTCTCACTCTCTCTTCACAGGAGGGATGTTCAAGTCCCTTAATCATCCTCGTAGCTCTCTATTGGACTTTCTCCAGTAGAACTCCATCTTTCTTGAACTGGGGAGTCCAAAACTGGACACAGTATTCCAGGTGTGGCCTCACCAGGGCAGAGTAGAGGGAGAGAAGAACCTCCCTAGACCTGCTGGACATGCTTTTCTTAATGCACCCCAGGATACCATGGGCCATCTTGGCTGCAAGGGCACAGGCAGTGTGACCTCTTCTTTTGAAACCAAAAAAATGTTTATAAAGGTCTTATCAAAAGATTGTTTTGTTCTACAACATCCAGATGAATTACCTCACTTGGTTCTCCTTCTCCATCACCTTCATGTCATGGTCAAACAATGCCAGTAAAATGAAGAGGTTTTTCTTTTCAAGACACTAAACCACATCAACCTCTTTACCTCAAGACATGATCATTCCTTTCCAGTGGTCCCTAAGGCTAATTTCCATAACACACATACACACAACCTCTTTCTCCTTGTAGGTCTCCACAGGCCCATTTCTAGGCTACTTCCTCAGCCAGCTCTTACCAGAATTCCCAGCAGAGCTGAGCAGCTCCTTCCACAAAACCTCCAAGCCCTGGCACCCACCAACCTTCTATAAAGACAGCTTGTGCTGTCACTATAAAAAATTATCCCAAAGCAGCAGGAGAAACATATCTGAGATTTTAAAGAAAGGGGGCTTGGAGCTAAGATGCAGGATGCTCCACAGAAGGGAGTCAATGCTGTCCCCACTCACCCTGCACATGCTCCAGGTGGAGGAAGATGGAGTCCTCAGTCACATAGTAGCACAACAGCTTGACCATGAAGGGGACCCCATGAGGGATGATGGTCTGTCGCTCTCGGGTCTCAATATGGGATTTGGGGAGGCTCTGAGAAGGTACAGGTAGGTGGGTGTTACAGCGGAGTAGGGACTCAGATGCCCTGGCAGGGCAAGAGGACAGCCAGAAAGGCAGCATGCCGTCTGCCGAGCTGCTCCCCTGTGTCTGTGCTCCCCACCTGTGGAAACCTGCAGAAGTTTCATGCTGAGGGGTCTGTCAGTCCCCAGCACCCAGCTGTGCTAAGGCTCTGCAAAGCTCTACCAGTGCAGAGCACTTCCCACTTGTGCTGTGGCACCCAGTGGACACTGTTGGTCCAAAGCAGTGGCCCTCCCCCACAACTGCCCCTACTCCTTTCAGACAGGAACCAGCCATCCCAGTCCTCTCCCCTCTTCTCTTCCCTCTGGAACTGATGCTTCTCCCTGTCATGCCAGAGCCTCCATGGCCAATTACTGAAGTTCTTTTAGTTCCAAGGGCACTGGAAAATGTCCTAGGGCTTGTCCTGAGAACATCTCACCCACCTCATCCATGACCTGTTACAGGGGTGACCCAGATTGACATGGGTGTAGGGTGTGGCCTGCAGCATTACAAATTGGAGAAAAAGATGACCCACGGGAACCCCCTGTCTTCTGAAGAAGCTTTGTGAACAGTGTCCTCCAACGTTTCTGTGAGCTGCTGTTTTTTGGTCCTCTTGCCTGCCCCAGACATCTGCTTGGACAAGGAGGCTCTGGCATGACAGATGGAAGGCAGATAAAACCAAGAACACCCACCTTAAGTATAAAGGTCCCACCAGTGGCTGGATCCTGGACGATCTGCACCTGAGAGCAGTACATACAGTACCGGTCAGAAGCTGTGACTGCTCCACCTCAACACATAGCCCACAGAAATGACCCAAGGGACTCAACTCTGGAACGGAAACAAACTTCCACCCAACTAGAGGAGTTTGCTGGTGCTCAGACTGCTACTCTTGAAAGACAAAACATAGGTCATTAGCGATGAGATAGCCATGCAGCCACGGAATGGAAAGTTAATTCAACCAAGAGGTGACTCCCATGCCGTTTTTGCTTCCTTCACGAAGAAGGGTTTTGCACTGCTCCTTCTGGGCTCTGTGCGGTGTGCTGGGCTGCCCACCTGGGCCTCGGCAGGAGAGGAGGACCTCATCAGTCCTGACAAACTGACATGTGTGAACGGCAGAGGAGAGCAATGTGCCAGCATGTGTATGGAGATGGTAAGCCTGGCATCTTCTCTACAGGATCATGAACTATTAATTAGTTCATTCATCCAGACAGGCTATCTTCTGCTGAAGTCTAGATTATGCACAGGAGTCCACCAACACGGTACCTAGGCATCAAGCATGATTCCACATATGGGAAAGAACTGGATGCATCAACCTCCTTGTAAATATCTTGGGAGCTCTGGTAAGCAAAAGTAATGGGGACATTAACACATTTCCCAAGTAACTCCTAAAGGGTCTTGCACCCTCACCTGCGACTTTTCCTTGGTGGGAACGGTGTGCACAGATACCCTCACATTCCTTAGTGGGTGCGCTAGAGGCCAGCGTCCTCATCACAGCTGCCAGGACCCTCTAGCTTACGCTTTCTTTGCACCAGTCCCAGCCTCATCCCCCACCCAGTTCCAGGTCAAGTCATTACCTTATCGATCACTCCCACAACCTTGCACCGTCTCAGGTTCTCCACTGCTGAGCTCAGCGTCCTGATCGGCCGGAAGCGCAGGCTGCTGTAACCCTGCATGGCGGCAAGAGAAGAGGATGAAGGACCTAGAGATGCTACTGTCCACGGGAGAGAAATCCCCACATTTCCCAGAGGAGGCAGCAATACTGCCAGGCCCATCAGTATCCAGAGACAATGCTCCAACAGCTGCAATTGATTCCTAACATCATGGCCAGGTCATGAGTTTATGAAGTTTTCAGGAAAAGCTCGTGCCTGCAGCAGAAGTAAAGGCACTCCAAAATTTGTACCTGGACTGCTTCCACGCTGAGGGGATCTCCCTTCGTTCTTGTCCCCAGGCCTGAGCCCGTCCTTCCTCACTCCCTTCTCCCTTCGTTAATCACCTCCTTCCCACAACACAGCAAGCAGCCATGGTTTTTGGTTTCCATCCAGATAAGAAAAACGACGGGGAAGATGACATTTTTAACATCTGACAAGGAGGGTTCCCCCAGCAGCCTCAGTCCATCCAAAAATGGCCATTTTCACTACGGTGGCAGCAAGCTATACATCCATGCTTCAGGGGGGCCCCGGGAGCACCCCAGGCAAGCTGGGCCCACCTCAGCTCTTCAGTCCAGGCAGGGTGAAGGGCTGCCAGCTCCCTCACAGCCACACTGCAGCTGAGGTGCTTGCCACCTTCCCTACCCCACCTTACCACGGTGTCTGGCAGAGGCAGCCGAGGAGGCTCACTGGGGCTGTTTTGTGTGTGTGTCCCCACCCAGGTTTCCCAGTGCCACTGATCCTGTGCCATCCCACCTACGTCACCCCACGCCAGCCCCTCACCGTGGCGGTGGGGCTGTCACCCCCCGCAGCCCGCTGGAGGTGGCAGTTGAAGATTTCCTCTGCGCGCCTCAGGTACTGCGTGATCTTTCGCTTCACGGCCTCCCGACGTTCCTTGTTGGGGTCAACTGTGGTGGGCAGAGAGAGCGGGTGTGAGGGGCCTGCCGCGCTCCCCGCAGGGATGCCCTGGTCTCCCGGCTACACTCCCTGCAGGGATACCTCCGTCCCCTTGTCATTCTCCCCGGAGGGATGCCCTGAGCCCTTGGCCGTGCTCACCGGAGAGATGCCCGAGTCCCCAGACCCTTCTCGCAGTAGGGATGCACTGGCCCTTGGGCCGCAGTCCATGGAGCGACGCCCCAGGCCCCCCACTGCTCTCCCCCGAGGGACATCCCGGTG